TTCTCCCCAAAGCCCCCTGGTACATAGTTGTATATTCTTCGTTGTGGGTCCTTCTAGTTGTGGCATGTGGGACGCCGCCTCAGCGTGGTTTGATGAGCAGTGCCATGTCCGCGACCAGGATTCGAACCAACGAAACACTGGGCTGCCTGCAGCGGAGCATGCGAACTTAACCACTCGGCCACGGGGTCAGCCCCCCAATGTAGCTTTAAAATACAATTCCTGTCGCCCTCTCACTCACTTGAGCTCAGTCAGCCTTGGCTATTTGTACAAGTAGGAAAGAAACTGATAACTAAGAGTGGGTTTTCAAACGACACACTCTCAGTGGAACTGTGGAATTGGCCAGTATTGATTAAATCATTCGTGACTGAGAAGTCAGCTGTGACAGCCAAACTAGAAGACAGGGTGAAGCTCTGGAGGCCCTGTTAGCAAAATGGGGGGATACTACAGTGTGTTGATTATTCTTTAGAGCCTTAGGAAAAGCACAGTGCCAAAAGAGATCAACAGTTTGTTCTAGGTTTCTCTAATGAAAAGGCGTAGAAAAAAAAAAAACAGTGCAGTTATGTAATCCTGTTAGAGAAAACTTTCTCCCTGCAGTCTGGAACTACTTAAGTCCAGGTTGAGGAAAATCAATGCTTTTCTTGTCAAATTTTAGGCCATACCAAATTCTTTGCCATACTAGATTTTTGTGACTAAAGTTAATGCACTGATTGGCCATGACTAGGCTCTTGACAATTGGAATGTGGATTTCTGGGAGAGCCAGAAGAGATGGGGAAACCCCTAACATCTGGGCTGCTCAAAAACACTTCTCAGGGCCGGCCTGGTGGTGCAGCGGTTAAGTTCGCACATTCCACTTCGGCAGCCCGGGGTTTGCAGGTTGGGATCCCGGGTGTGGACATGGTACCACTTGGCACACCATGCTGTGGTCGGCGTCCCACATATAAAGAAGAGGAAGATGGGCATGGATGTTAGCTCAGGGCCAGTCTTCCTCAGCAAAAAAAGAAGGATTGGCAGCAGATGTTAGCTCAGGGCAAATCTTCCTCAAAAAAAAAAGTTAACAGGGGCTGGCCCCGTGGCCAAGTGGTTAAGTTCGCGCGCTCCGCTGCAGGCGGCCCAGTGTTTCGTTGGTTCGGATCCTGGGCGCGGACATGGCACTGCTCATCAGACCACGCTGAGGCAGCGTCCCACATGCCACAACTAGAAGAACCCACAACGAAGAATACACAACTATGTACCAGGGGGGCTTTGGGGAGAAAAAGGAAAAATTAAAATAAAAAAAAAAACAACATTTGGGGAATCTGGGTAAAGGGGATACAAAAATTCTTTGTACTATTCTTGTAGTTTCCTCTCAGTCTGAAATTATGTCAAAATAAAAAAAGAAAAAATACTAAAAGTAAAAAAAAGAAGAAAAAGAAAACGGCTGTAACAACAGTAAAACAACAAGAACAGCGACAATATGGCACCCTTAAAAGTGAAAAAGGGGAAGCAACCCACTAAAGTCCTGTGGGAACTGAACTGCCAGAAATACACCAAGTTGGATCCTGTGTCTGACTGAAATCAACATGGCAAGGCAGCTCAGCTTCTCCAGCAATTCTTAATCCCAACCACAAAGGATAACAGAAGAACAGTTTTAGTTCTTCTGTTCCATTAGAGGAAATTTTTGTCAATGACCATCTCAGGGATGATCTGAAAACCAATGGTAAAAGGAAAACTTCCCAATAAGCAAAAACTGATGTGATCAAATTTTCTGACCAAAGAACTCACTCCGCTTCTAAGGATGTGAGTCAGCAAACTGGTTCTGGGAATTCACTCTTGTGTCATATACGTTGTCCCCCCGCCCGCCCTGGGCTAACCCTGCAGTATCAGTGGAGGGCTTGCCTTACAAAGCTGGAGCGGTATGTTGAGGGCTGTGAAATAACTGTGAGGACTGGACTGATATACAGAGCCGATCTGGAGGAGTCATTCTATTTTCTCCCTTTTAATTAAGAATTTCTTGTAGTTGCCTTGTGTTTTCCTCTAATATTGTACATCAGGTGTCTGTGGGCTTGTTTTCTAAAAGGTGTAAGATGTCAACGGATCATACCTGGAACCAATTACAATCGAACTAGAAAAGAATGGACATCACTCAGGAATTATAGAGTGATTAAAGGGGCCCCATTACATTGCCTCTGAATGCAATAGTTAGACTTGGCTTTGGATAGTTTTTGTTTGTTGAGAGGGTGGGTGTATTTATGTTTTTTATGAATAGTGGATTGTGTTAGTGGAGGAGGAGTCTTTAGAAATATATGTTTGAAAAGAAGGGGCTATGTGCACGGTAGGCAGAGTAGTCTGTGCTAGCTATGCTTCATTGGCTGTCCCATGTGCAGCCTCTTCTGCAGAGCCTACCCCTCCCACAGTCTCTAGAAAGAACAGTCCTGCATATTTAATGACTTGGTGGCCACAGCTGATTAAACAAAGGGTACACACTTGACTAGACTCAGGACTGAAAAAATACTCTTTCACAAGGATTTTCAGAACCAGAGAACTATGGTTGGTTAATGGTAGCCACTGGTGCTAGGAGGTCATGCTGGTGTGTCAGGGCTGAGGTGTCTGTCTTAGGTTCTGCCCAAGAGGAGCAGGCAGAGTTGCTAATCTGCAAAGAGAAGCAGGAGAATGGAGCAGATGTGCTGAGAGAAGCAGGAACAGGGACCAACTGAAAAGCAAAAAGCATGAAACCTGCTTCCTGAGGGCTGCACTATTCTATCTTCCCATTACCTCACTTGAATCCATTCAGATCTACTAAAACTCTAAAAATGCAGTCTTAGCCCTAGTCTTTCATGCCAACATTCCCACCCACCGCAGCGAAAGAAGGAAAGAGAAGGCAGAGATGGGTAGGCAAAAAGGTGAGGATTTTCCAAGGACTCTGGCATAATCAACATCATCCTGTCATTGGATATCTGTTTCATCACTAGAAGCAGCTCAAGGGGATTTCTGTTCCTTGCAATAAAAGAGGCAGTGTAGGAAAGCCAAGAGGAAGGGAATGACTGATGGAGCAGGATCTGTGAAGAGAATCGTTTAAGACACAGATGTAGAGATTGGTCTTGGCCAGGAAGATGGATACTTCTTCCTGAGAATTAAAAAAAAAATCCCACAAACTTGGAAAAAAACCATGATATGAGTATTCTGTAGCCATGGCAACAAGTAGCCTTCAGAACCTATTTTAAACCAGTTGAATCAATCAACAACTTGCCTAAGTGAAAATCATCCAATCAGCGTCAGCCTTTCACTTCTCAAAGTCAAACAGTCTCCAGTGAACTGGTCTTGGAGTGCCAGCCAATCAAATACAGTCTCACCAGGGCTATCGTCTTCTAGAGATGATGTCTATCTACTCATGCCTCTGAAAATCTGCCAGTCCCTGAAGCCAAAACCGTAGAGGTAGAAGATTACAGTCTGCCCTGCTCAGAGATGATACCTCACCAACATAGCTCTGTCTTAACGATAGTAAGCAATAAATTTAGTAAACATTTCTGGCTCCTTCTGCCCTAAAAAATACTATTCACTAATCTTACATCCCGTTCTGGCTTGAGACCCAGGATGCTTCTCATCACAAGTAACAGAAAACATAACTCAAAATGGCTTAAACAATAATAAATGTATTCTCCCTCATAACTAGAAGTCCAAAGATAGCGTATGCTCAGCTTGTCTGCTCTGCCTGCCTCCACAAGAAGACTTTGTCCTTAGACTGGCTTCTTTTGTGGTGACAAGATGATTGCCAAAATCAACACATGCTTCTGAATTTAGATCCAATGGGAGAAAGAAATCCTCCCTGCCACTCACAGAATAAAAATCTTACCCCCACTTCAGTCTGATTGGACCAACCTGTGGACTAACAACACTCATCAGGGTAACGTCACGTATTGATTAGCTTAAGCCTTGGCTCTTGAAAAAAAATTACCGTCAAGAGGGATGGTTATAGTGTGATTGACTTAAAATAATCAGCATCCACCCCTAGAGCTGGGGATGGAGTTAGCTTCCTCCAAGTCATCTGGACTCTGTAGTGGAGAAGTGGATACTGGAACAAAATTAGGTTCTTTAGAAAGGAGGAGGGGGACGTGGATGCTGTGAAAGCAACCAGCAGAGTTCACAGGGCTACTGGACCTTTTCTTCCATGGGTTTACCCATCACCACCTTCCACTGAAGGACTTCCAAGTTCAGATCTTCAAGACCAGATAGTCAACTGCATATTGGATCACCACACCTAGATGGTTCACACATTTTTCAGCCTGTATTTTCTAATGCTGTATATGGTGCTACCATACATCTATCCAGCCATCCATTCATGTAATCTCCATGCACTTAAGTCCCCGAGCCTATAAACTGGTGGTCATTCTTAATTCCTCCCTCTTCTTAACAATTTTACATCCCCAGTCATTTGATTCTATGTCCTAAATATAACCCACACTCCTCCTTTCCTCTACTTCCTGACTATCCCAGCCCATTTACAAAACTCTCCTAATTTATATTTCTCCTGCCATTTTCAGCCCCCTTGAGTGGTTCTTCACATTGTCAACAGATAGACAATCCTAAAAAATAAATCTGATTCTGTCACTGCGTAGATTAAAAGCTTTCAGTGGCTTCTCATTCTATAGGATAGAATCTAAGTTCCCTTGCCTGCTTCAGGTCCTCCATAACCTCATGATTGCCTCCCGCTCCCACGCTTCCTGGTCTTTTCCTTGGTACACACACTATTGTGCCAGCCATGCTGACGCTTGCATTTCCCCAGATGCATGCCCCCATGTCTTTGATCGTACTGTACCCATCACCTGAAATGCCCTTTCCCTGGACAAACGTCTACTGATTTTTCAAGCTTCAGTTTAAAAATAATCTCTGTGACTATCTCAGGTAAAATTAAACAGTTCTTTCCTCAGATTTATCCCTAAGATTTTTGTTTTTATTTTTGAGGCCCTTCCATTTTTATTTTAATGTGGAAAATAAAAGAGATGGGTCACTCTCACTGCCTTTGCAATTTTTCTGTAAATCTAAAACTATTCCAAAATGTAAAGATGAGAGAGAGAGACTGATCTGGAGCTTGCCCTTGAGCGTTGGAGCTGCCCATACCCCTTCCCGAGACTGGAGGATCTTCTCCAGGAGATCTGGCAGACGTGTGAGGGGCTGGAGATGTGGCTGTTTGGGTTGATATGAGGTTGGAGATTTGGATTAGGGCCAGGTCTCCTACTTCTGCCATTTTTGGTCCCCCAAGGGGCTAGTCTCTGTCTCTTCTGCCACAAATGCACAGCTTCCTTCTCTTTATGCTCTGCAGAAAGATGACTCTGTTCCTCCTGCCTCCTCCCCCAATTCCGCTTTGTCTGGGTTTGGAGAGCAGGGACGGGGATGTGGCCTGGTAAATGTGGGCTGCCATGGATATTCAGGTGCCTGAGGGGAAGGCCTGGTCATTATAAATCCTTTTTATGTAAGGCAGACACGATAATCTACCACACAGGTCCTTGGACTCTAATTGAGATAGAAAATTGGGCTGGTAAAGTGTGGCTCCAGAGGAATAGGAACAAGAGGGATGGCAAAATCACTCTTGTTGGATCCAGTTCCTCCTCATTTCCCAGCAGCTGTGAATGAAGACCATCTAGAGAGGAGCCGTCCCTGTCCCTCTGTCCACATCCTGCTCCTGTTTCCCTTGGCAGCCTAGGAGCTTCCCAAGGGCAAGGACCGGTGCTTCTGGTACTCAGCGAGGGGGAAGAGACTATAGGTGGAAAGAAATACCAAAAGGGTTTTATGATGTAGCAGAAAGAGCCAGATTCTAGGAGTCAAGAGACTTTTATCTTAAATCCTGACTCTGCCACCATTTCCCTGGTGGCCTTAGACAAGTCACTTTCACTCCCTATAAAATGAGAAGTTGAACTAGATGATCTTAAAGATCCCATCCATCTTGAAAAAGTTTATTACATTTCATGAGGAGAGGGACCATATTTTATTTGTTTTTGTCTCCCCAGCATATGGCACAATGCCTGGCACATAATTAGGGTTCTCAGGAAATGCTCTGATTAGAGTGAATGAATGAACTACTAGAAAAAGGTAAGGGCCCAAAGCGAAGTTCTTAGACTTGGCCAGCTGGTGGCATCACCTCTCTGCATAACCATAAGGGGGTGTTAGTCTCAGACCAAGGGAAAGGATTTGGATTAGAAATGAGTAGAGGTAAAAAAAGGAATGATTAGAGGACCAGATATTTCAAATGGATAGCAGAACCCTGGAGTTCTGACTCAACTTCCTTTCTCCAAGCCAAGAGAAAATAAATCTAATGCATTAAACAGACATCTTCACTGCCAGATTGGCAAGGTGACGCCGGACGGGTGGAAGAGTAAACATGGCCCGGAGGCGGAGGAACTGGTACGAAGTCACACAGGAGCAGTCCAGGAGGTCAGGAGGTAGCCCATCTGACTCAGCTGAACTTGGACTGGCCACACCCCTTCTGCCACCCCTTTCACACCCATTCCTTGCTGAAAAACCCAAACATCCCGGCACCCAATCTGGATCTCTGGGTGTCTTCCATAGGGTTCATCAAACACACTGCTGATTGATTGTCCCGAGGGCCCCTCTCCTCCCCCAGCACTCCAAGGGAACTGAACACCAAACATCTCAGAGGGCAGGAAGGTGTTGAATATTTTGGAATCCTTGAAAAAGCCTCACTCTTTTATCTACCCACCTCCCACCCTCTCTTTTTCCCTATCACAGCAAATTCTGCAAAGCATAGCGATATGGGCATAAAAGGGGAGGACCCAATGAGGCATTTTTTCCAGTGAGGGCTGAGATCATGGGGAGACAGGATGAGGTGTGGTGAGGATGTATCTCAGGGTCCACAGCTCTGGAATGGGGTTTGGGGACTGGAGGAGAGAGTGGGGGTGCTGTTGACCTCTGACTCCATGGACTAGAGCAGGAAAGGGTGAAATGGCAGTGGGAGTGATAGAGGTTAGCAGGACTACTTCATGCTCGGGAGCAGGAACAGAACTGCGGGCATGCCCCAGGTCCACTCAGGTCTTCACGGGCCATGTTCCCAGTGAGGAGGGAACAGGAAGCTGTGACTTCCTCTCTCCTTTCCTCCCCGTCCTTAGCCTCAAGGTCACTTGTTGCTGCAATGAATTCCAACCTGTGTTTTAGTTGGCGCTGTTCCCTGGGCATGGTGATAATAGCTGCTCGGTACCCTGCTCCCTTTCACTACAGACACCCCAAACTTTTCCTTTGAGATAATAATCATTTATGAAAAACAGTAACATACAAAGTGCTTTTTCACATGTATTATCTCATTTCATCACACCAATCCTGCGACGCTGTGATATTATCTGAAAATTTTAAGCAACGAAACTGAGTCTCAGGGGAGTAAAGTAACTCACCCAAAGTCACACAGCTAGTGAGTAGCAGATCTGGGACTCCAGAACCTCTGCTCTCTCTCTCAGACATGCATTCTGGGTCCCTGCCTCTAGCCCCCTTCCAGGCCCCTTCCCCTGGCCCCAAGGAGCACTTTCTGCAGAGAAGGGGGCCCCTGCACACTGTTAGGAGTAGAGGGGGCTCCAGTTTAGTTCCTGTCATCCCTGAGATGGGGTATCTCTGGCCCTCTCCCCACAGTGGAGGCTTGGTGCTGCTCTCCATAGTTAACTCCCCTTTCTCCCCTCCCTTTCTGCCACATAGAGCCCTTCCTACACACACACACACACACACACACGCACACGCGCACACACACGCACGCACACACGCACGCAGGCACACATTTATGTTTGGGCCCTCCCTTACCCTGCCCCACCCACCACCCAACAGGGAAGAGGCAGGTTGTCCCATCCACACCCCTCCCTCTGAGGTGTGGGCGTGGGCCAGGGCTCCTGGCAGCTTGAGGCCCTGAGAGAAGCACTCAGATCTAGAGGTTCCTGCTGAGAGCTGTAGGTGGCCCTGCCAGTCTGGCAGGCACTTGCTGGCCCCTCTGCCTGGCACCACTGACTTTGGATGCCCTGCGATGCCCACACCCAATACTTCTGCCCCGCTGCCTGCATTCCGGGGCAACACCTCTGGAGGCAGCGTGCTGAGTACTGATGATGCTGCGATGCCTGTTGAATTCCCAGCCCTGAGGGTTGTGGTTGCCCTGGCCTACGGGCTTGTGGGGGCTGTCGGCTTGCTGGGAAACTTGGCCGTGCTGTGGGTGCTGGGTAACTGTGCTCGGCGAGTTCCTTCCGACACTTTTGTCTTCAACCTGGCTCTGGCAGACCTGGGGATGGCACTTACTCTCCCCTTCTGGGCAGCTGAGTCAGCACTGGACCTCCACTGGCCCTTCGGAGGTGCCCTCTGCAAGATGGTCCTGACGGCCACTGTCCTCAACGTCTATGCCAGCATCTTCCTCATCACGGCGCTGAGTGTTGCCCGATACTGGGTGGTGGCCATGGCTACAGGACCAGGCACCCACCTATCACTCTTCTGGGCCCGTATGGCCACCCTGGCAGTGTGGATGGCAGCTGCCCTGGTGACAGTGCCCACGGCTGTCTTTGGGGCTGAGAGTGAGGTGTGTGGCGTGCGTCTGTGCCTAATGCGCTTCCCCAGCAAGTATTGGCTGGGAGCCTACCAGCTTCAGAGGGTGGTGCTGGCCTTCATGGTGCCCCTGGGCATCATCACCACCAGCTATCTGCTGTTGCTGGCCTTCCTGCGGCAGCGGCAACGGCGTCGGCAGGACAGCAGGGTTGTAGCCCGCTCTGTCCGCATCCTGGTGGCCTCCTTCTTCCTCTGCTGGTTCCCCAACCATGTGGTCACTCTCTGGGGCATCCTGGTGAAGTTTGACCTGGTACCCTGGGACAGCACTTTCTACATCATCCATTCCCAAGTCTCCCATGTCACCACCTGCCTGGCACACAGCAACATCTGCCTCAACCCTGTGCTGTACTGTCTCCTAAGGCGGGAGCCACGAAGGGCCCTGGCAGACACCTTCAGGGATCTGCGAGCAAGACTGTGGCCCCAGGGCCGAGGCTGGGTGGAACAGGTGGCCCTAAACGAGGTAGGCAGGAGGTGGGTTGGAAGTACCCCCTAGGAGAGTTGCCCTTTTACTATGCTGCTCACCAAATTAGACAAAAGGACACCTGAGTGATGGGTGCAAGCTAAACACTCTCCTCCTTCTGGGGTCTGCCAGGTGCAGGATGCTCACCTTATAGGGAGAAGGGGGCCTGCCTCTCTACCTGGCTGCGTTGCCTGAGGGAATGTCTGCTCCTTGATCTCACTGTGGGTGTGTGGTGGAGTGGGAGAGGCCTGGGCCCAGGTCACTCTGGGTATGACAAAGCTTGTCTCCATTTGGAGGTGGGAAAGAAGAGGATCTGAGAATAAACCTCTGGATCATTCACAAATTGTCTTGACCCTTAATCCCAGTTCCACCTCCAGTTAGTGTGGACAAAAGGATTCTTTGCCCCATTTCTGCCTCCTGTGAGAATTCCCAGGAAATTTTCCCAAGGTTTCTAGACTCATGGATCAGAGGTCAGTGCCTATCTCCCTCTGTCTGTCCCCTCCCCATCCCCTCACCTCAAACGGGGTGTGCTCTTGTCCTCCTCTGGTGCCAGGGCCCAAAATGCTCTCCTCTCCTGGCCATCTCCACCTTTTTACCATCTCAGTGGTTCCTACAGAAACTTGGTGCTTACAGACCTCAGCTGCAAAAGCTGTAGTCCCCTTGCTGGGAGAAGGCACATGGGGTCTTGTTGGATCCCTGGCATCAGCCAAGCCCCAAGTGTAGAACCCTGGTCCTGGCTGGGAGGACCTGTGTGTCTCTCTTTAAATCAAGATTTGGAGGGAAAAGTGAAGATAAGCCAAGGGTGTGAGTGGGGCATAGGGAGGTGAGAGATGGGGAAGGGAGTTGGGAGAAGAGGAGGCTGAAGGTGCAGCCAAAGAAGTGGAAACCACAGAAAGTGGTGCTAGTCTTCCTCTCCACCCCAAGTGCTTAGCTCAGAGTATCAGAGCTAAAGGTGTCAGAGCACCTGGATTCACATGCCAGCTCTGACACTAACTGGCTGAGGGACCTCAGTAAATTGCTTTACTTCTGTTTTCTCATCTGTAAAATGGGCTGTTGAGAACTCGGCAGTGCCTGAAATAGAGTATTAGCTGTTATTCTCACACATCATGTAAAATGGAGACAAAAAGGAAGAGGACGAAATAAGGTGGCAGCTGGGAGACGGGGACAGGGAGCCAAAAAGGTCTTGTCTGGAATGATTGTTACACGTTCTAGAGTGAAATGAGTTTTACATAAAGGAGTGAGTGAGGGGTTGGCCCCTCAAGCCCCTCTTGAAAGTGTGTTCTCCAGGGCAGGGGGCTCCCCTTTGGTTTCTGTGTCCGTAGAGACCCAGCAATGACAAAGCTTAGCCATTAGAATGGACTTTCTTGGGGGGCGGCCCCTGGCAAGGAGGGAGGTATAGAGGGAAGATGGGGCGAAGCTCCCACTCACATTGCCCTCCCGCTGCCCCAACGTGCCTTAGAGCCCAGAACAACTCAGGCCACTCAGGATCCCAGAGCAACAGCTGGGAGCTGCACCTGAGCGGTGAAGCCTGCGGGGGGGTGGGGGGGGTGGCGGGCGGCCTGCAGGCGCCCTCTGCCCCAGCTCCATCCAGTTGCTGAGCAGAAGAGGCTCTAAACAACCACCCAATTCACAACACATTAAGCAATGTTAAAGACATTTAATTAGCCTCTTGATGTTTAATTTCCTTTTTTTTGATAATGTTTAAACTGGTTCCAAAACTCCAGGTCTGTACCCAGCCAATTCAGGATGGAAAATCCCCCCCAGCTAGGTACCCCTCTTGCCACCCCCTGCAGTTCCTCCGATGGCCTTGCTAGGCTCCGGATATTGGCTCCTCTGGGAGCATTTCTGCTTTATGGGACCCAGAGGTCAATATTGACAAAGTTTAAAGAGGTCCAAGTCAGAGATGAACCAATGCACGCAGATCTCCTCTTGGAGAGGGGTGGGAGAGGTGGGGGAGGGTGCAATGGAGGAGGGCTGGGCCTCGCAGGCTTGGAGCTCCTCTCGGACCGGAAAGAAGGCATTGTTGTGGCGAGAAGCTGGGCCCTGGCTTCCTGGAGCATGAAGCCAGAGAGCTTTGAAACGGCGGCAGAAGGGATAGAGGTTAAGACTGAGTTTCCGAAAATGGGATTAGAGGGGACAATGGATAGAATGGTGAAAGATGTGAGGGGCTAATCTCAGAACAGCCATGTCAGAGAAATGTGTGACCTAAGTTTCAGGGCCAAGGATGAGGACAGGTTTTGGTCAAGGGGCAGCAGGAGGGACAGCACGGCTCTCCCACGTGCTGTGGGCTTCTCCACACCTGCACCGTGCGCTTCGTGTCTTCCCTGGATCTGTGTGAGAAAGCTGGGGAGCCTGCATTCCCCTTTCTTGGTGGTCTTCGGATGCTGATACCCCACTCCCACCCCCTGCACCGCCTTTACAGCCTCAGGTCCCAGCCGCTTCCAGCTGACAAGGCAGACAGCTGCTGAGCCGTGTGTCAGTGCGTTTGCAACTTGTTCTGGTATTTTTAGGCAAAGCAGCCGAGGAGGGGAAGTGGAGGACTGTTGCGAGGAGAGCTGGCCCCTTCCTGGCTCACCTCCCCGGGCCTGGCAAGCTTTCTGCACCTAGGTTTTTCTGCAAAATGAGAACAAACTCCTACCTCACACGTCCCGTAATGGATGAGAAAGCACTTTGTAAAGGCCAGTGCTGGTGGACGAGAAGTACAGGGGTGCAGGGTGCTGGCTGCTCCCCCAAGCCTGCCCCCTCACGTGATTTCGATTCCTCTTTCCAGCTGAGGTCTTGAGCCCCATTCTTCTCTTCTTACCCCATGGGCTCCAACAGAGACATGTGTATGCATGCCAGCATTTATTCAACTCTAGACTCTCACCTCCTCCCTCCCCCCACAGCCCCGGAGTAGGGTATTAACCAGAAACAGGAAGCAAAATGAACCAAAACCAAGAACTGAAACCAACCTAATCTCTCACTACCTCTCCAAGAGGCAGAGAGCAAATGAGCAGCTCCTCTGAGGGGAACTGTCTTAAAGAGGTTACCCCAGGACCCTGACACTGGGAAGAACCAGGGCAGAGTGGGGCTGAGTCTGAAAATGAATGACAGGGGAGAGGCTAACAGGAACTGTGCCCAAAGGGAAGGAAGGGGGCAACAGGCTGATGCAGTTTCTGAGCATGGCATGCAAATGAGATGGAAACAAGTTTTCTAATATTGGAATCCCCAGCAGCCACTGGAACCAGCTCAGCGCCCCTTCATTCTCATCCTTGTATTCATGAATATCGACGACAACAACAAAAAAGGCCTGCAGCAGGTTCTGTGGCTAGCGCCCCGTCTTCAATGAGGCAGTCTGTCGTCCCTGTGAGAGGCAAAGACCTCTTCTGGAGGGACACGGGTCACTGCCCGGCTTTCCTCATCACCAGCACCCTCGGAACCAGCAGACATTAAGAGACAGCACATCATGGGGTTCCAGGTCTTTAATTTTCCCTGCTTTGTGTTTTTTTCTTTCCTTTTTTTTTTTTTTTTTTTTTTTTTTTAACAATCAAATTGGCAGAAAAACGGCTGGAGCTGGTGGGCACTGGGGGGTCCATTGAAAAATCCCCAAAATTCACACTGAGGTTTCAGGTCATGGTTGCTGAGGTGGGGGATGAGGTCAGGATTTGTGGAGATTTCCCGACTCTCCCTAGAACTTTTTTTCCAAATGGCTGGGGAAGAGGTCAGAAGAGATCCCCCATTACTATAGATGAGGAGAGAAGCCGTTGTTCCCCCATCCCTCAAGTTCTTCAGAGATGTGGAGATAGAAGGCTGTGATTTCTAACTGCCTACAATCTTCTCTTAAAAATATAAAACACGTGCAGTTGGCTTTGGTACAAAAAAGAAAATAACAACAACAAAAGAACATTCTGGTCCCTGTGGGTTTTTTTCCCTCCCCCAGCAACAAACTATTATGGCCACCTCAACCTCTATTCCATCAGCTCTAGGAAGCCAGGTTATCTCCCTGGGGTTTCCATGGAGGATGGAGAGAAGAGAGAACAGCAGGAAGAGGCTGAGGGAAGTGGGAGAGGGACATGGCCCTTCCCACAGCCCTTCTGGAAGGGCAATAGGCTCCTGTGGCTGCAGCCTCTCCCCAAAGATGGTTGTTGCTGGGGAGGGGTGTCAGGGCTAGAACCCTGCAGTTGCACGGCTAAGCCTGAATAAACCCCAGTAGTGTTAAAGGACAAGGCCCCCTGATCCCTATGGCTTGGTTCCCATGTCCCTGGTCCTCTAAATCTCCTCTCTCCCTCCATAACTAATAAACAATAAATAAATAAATTTTCCTAAAGTAGAGGGAAGAAGGCATGAAAGATTGGCATCTGTGGTGTAGCTTCTGGATGCCACCAGGGGGCACTATGGCCTAATTCGCCCAGCTTCCTAAATGGCCCCAGGTATCCAAGGATCCCAAGAGCTGGCAAGGACAATCAGCAGTTCTTTCAAATGTTCCCTTGTCATTGGCAGATTGGAGTCCCCAAGGTTTTCCTCCCTCAGTAATGTTCTTCAGGGGGGCACAGGGCAGGGGGGAGGGGCCCCCTTAGCTCTCTGAAGCCACAGGCTCCCCGTCGCGGCTCTCAGTCTCTTCCGGGATGTCCTGCATTCGGGTGAAGTCTGAAGGGGGAAGGGCAAAGTTAGTGAGTGAGTAGAGGCTCCTGGGAGCAACTGCCCCCCTACACTAATGCCTCCCCATCTGCGTACTGAAGAGCTCTGAAGGCTGCAAGGGACAGCAGAGGTGTCAGTGGCAGAGGTCAGTGAGCCCGTGGGTGAGAGAAAAACCTCTGTCAACAAGGCCACACCTAGCCACACCTAGGTCCTTTTACACTTTGTAACTATACAAAGATACAATTTGGTTAATAAAATACAAAATGTATTAAGATTATTATATGAAGTCACAGTAGCTTTTAGTTGTTTTGCATTTCCTGAACCAACTCTAAGAACTTAGAGATCTTTGAAATTGTTTTACTTTAAAAATCTATTTCTAGGGCTGGCCCCGTGGCCGAGTCTGTGCACTCTGCTTTGGCGGCCCAGGGTTTCACTGGTTTGGATCCTGGGCGTGGACCTAGCACCTCTCATCAGGCCATGCTGAGGCGGTGTCCCACATAGCACAACCAGAGGCACTCACAACTAGAATATACAACTATGTACTGGAGGGCTTTGGGGAGAAGAAGGAAAAAAAAAAAAAAAGATTGGAAACAGATGTTAGCTCAGGTGCCAATCTTAAGGGAAAAAAAATCTATTTCTACTTGAGAAGGTTGGGAATCACTGGCTTTTTGGAAGAGGAAAGGACCCTACGTTCTCTGCTTCCTCGAGTTCCACCACTCATTCACCATGGGACAAAATGGGAAGTCCGTGCGTCCCTCCCAAGGGTTACTGTAGAACTCGGATTTTAGGGACCGTCCTCAATGTTCCTGTGTTCCAGGATACAGACTCCATTTGGAAACCCAAGGGTCTCTACCCAGGTTGTACCCCACTTCTATTCCATGTCTCTGCCTGGGTCTCACCTCGTGGACTATGGGGCGGAGACAGACGGCCACCACCTTCCTCCTCGCTGCCAGTGTCAGGGTCACTGCTATCTTGCAGCCGCTCCTCGGGGCTGCCCAGCTCCTGTCTCTCTCGATCCTCAAATGGTCGATGGACAGAGCGAATAGTCACAGGCAAATCCAGGCGATCGTGGCCTCGGCTGGGCTGTGGACAGCAGGCAGGAAAAGCAGCAGGCCAGGGAATGAGCAGTGTGAAGACTGCAGGCCCTGCTGGGCCCCAAGACGCGACTCTCCCAGTAGAGCCACCACTGACTGATTTCTTTCTGTACCCATCCAAATTTTTCAGTTCTCCAACCAGCATCATAATATCCTTCAAGTCTGTTGCCTGATTTCATTTCAGCTCAAATCCCCCATTCCTTGCAGGTTCTCTCATGGACCCTTATGTCCACCCCAGGTCAGCTCACTCCTCCAAGCCTCCTTACCTGTGGGGGGGTGAAACTCAAGTACAGGGCATCGCCGGCAGGGAGGCTCCGACGCCGAGGGTCCAGAGGCCTGCGGGCCCAGGGGGCCTCCGCTGGGAGCGGTTCAGTCTGGCCCAAGGCGGCCAGCTGCCTGCGAGCCTCCTCGGCCTCCCGCTCCAGCAGAGCCCGGGCCTGCTCGCTTTCCCGGAGCCGGGCTTCCAGGCTGCCGGCCTCGGTGGCCCGCTCTTCGCCTAGCCGCCGGCAGCGCCGCAGCTCCTCCTGCAGCAGCGTGTGTTGCCGCTGCAGTAATGCCAGTTCTGTGGCCTGCTTTTCAGGAGCCCCGGGGGCAACCCCGGCTCTGCCAGCATCCCCATCCCGAGAGTTGGCTCGAGACAGCTTCTCCCGCCGCTCAGGGCCCTCAGGGAACCGAGCTTCCATCAAAGTGTCCTGCTGGGCCACAGCCGCCTGGGGGTGGCATGGGGACGGACGGGTGTATCAGAACCCCGTTTCTTCTCCCCCTTCCCCTCCCTCCCCAGCGCCCAGGTCATGATTCCTGGAGAGCTCAAATTGGAGGAAGGCTTAGAAAGGCCTGTTAGGATGACTCTGCCCCACCAAAACGGGCAGCTTTGGTCTGGCTCCTCCCCTTGCCCCACTGACCTGTAGGCCATGTAGAAGTCCATAGAGATTGACCAATCGCTGCAACGCTTCCTGAGGACAGAGAAGAGGGTGGGAACAGGGCCCAAGCTTCAGGATGGGAGAACTGCCCAGAAGTTGAGTAAAGGTGGGTGTGGGGACAATAAGACTCCAGATACTTTGAAGTGTAGACTTTCCCCCACACCACTCCAAATTGGACTCCAATTTCTCAGACTGAGAAATCCTCCCTTCAGTTTCCTATACCATCAAATTCCCATCTCACCTCCTGGGGCGATCTCAGCTGATTTCCATTTCGATCCTGCAGAAATGGGCAAGGATGGGGAGTCAGCAAGCACACAAGTCCCTGATAGCTCTGTGTCAAGGATCTATAGGCCAGCTGTCCCTTTCCCACCCTCTAGCCAAGTCCTGACACCTTCTGAGGACCCACCTTCTGGCTGGAGTCTGAGTCAGCCCTGCAGAGCTCAATCGAGCCATTGAAGGTTCTGGCCTCACCATCTGTTGAGAAGGGGAAAAGGACGGGCTGGGCTCACTTCCCCAGGGCCCTGAAACCACTCGGTCCCTGGTACTACCCCATTCCCTTTAATCCTGCCCACCCACTACCTTGGTCCCCTGCCCTGGCACTCACTGGCAGTGACCCCAGGACTCGTGTTACCGCCGCTGTCTGGATCCGTTGGCAGGGCTGGTTCTCGGGATGTTGAGAGCAGCTCTACTCCAGGCCCCACCAGCAGGTCCTTCAAGCTCTCCACTGAAAGGAAAGAGGAAGAGATGAGGACAGGAGCAAGAGAGAACCCTGTGGGGAATGGGAGGGGATGCCGTTCACCAATATACATGGAATATTGAGGCATTTAGGGAAATTCCCCCTGCACAGGCAGCGAGGTCTCACTCATACCCACAGACCAGGCAAAACAAAGGTCATTAATGGTGCCTAAGGGCCCGCACAAGTAGATGCTAATGAGAGGTGTCAAACAGGAGCAAGGACCACGCCTCTGCCCCTGCCTTCCCAGCACCTGGCAGCAAACAGGCGCTCAGGGGAGTTTGTGGATTATGGAGTCGACCTCCCCCTTGTCTGTCTAGCCGTGTGGTCATATTCTGTGATGGTGAGTGGATGAGCCTGGACTCTTCCCTAGGAGCTCCCTCACCCTCACGGATGGCATCCTGCAGCAGCCGCTCGCCACGAGGGGCCTCAAGGGACTCAGAGCGGAAAAGGCCCCTGGGCAGGGTGGGCAGGGGCATCCCACTGCCGCCATCCTCTTCCACCTGGAAATGGGTCATCTCGGCGAACAGCCCGACCTTCTCTTGCAGCAGCTCCACCAGTGCCCGGTCTTTCTGTTGCAGCTCCACTGTGGGTAAGGAACAGGTGAGCACACGGGAGGGCCTAGGGGCACCCAGAAGAGGCAGGAGCAGAGGGGCAGCCCCAGGGGTTAAGGTCCAGAGCTGGGCAGAGTGACAGGACTTAATTTTGGGTTTTTGGCATTTACGAAAAAGAAGAAATCTTTTTTGGGGGAAAAGTAACACATGCACTTTGGTTTTAAAAACAAACATAAACAATTTGTGGCAGGGACTGTAGGTTGTTCACCAGTTTTCATTTTCCCCATCTTCCTTTAGACCAGGAAGTACAAGGGCTTTTTTAGAGGATGCACACAAGTTTCATCTGGGCACGTGGCTGCCCAGTTAGACTACAGTTCCCAGATTGACTTGCAGCTAGACATTGCCACATGACTAAATTCTGGCCAATGGATGTGAGTGTCTTCCAGATCCGCCCTTAAAAGAAATGGGTATAAATTCTCCTTGTTCCTTTACTCCTCCCTGCCAGCTGGGGTACAGATGTAACAGCAGGAGCTGGAGTAGCCACTTTGGACATCGAGAGGGGGGATTTTCCTATTGAAGATGGCACAGCTGCACGGCTACCCCACGCTTCCCACTTCTGGACTGTTACGTGGAGAGAAATAATCCTCTGCCTCATTTAAGCAACTGACTTTCATTGGTCTTTTGGTAGAGCAGTTAGATCACAACCTAAGTAATATAAAGCCTTAAGAGTAAAAAAGTAATCAATCCTGTCTCAATCCTGGTCTTCCTAGTTCACCTTCCCAGAGGCAGCCACAGTAACAATAGCTTATCTTGCTAGAGATATTACACACACACACACACACACACACACACAAAATACATATGACATACAGCTATCTCCATTATTTTGACACGAGTGGTGGCATACACCTTACCCTTGTTTTAAACTTCACTCTTTCGCTTAGTATATTTTAGTTATGGATCTATATCGGCACTCATAGAGCCACCTCACTTTTTTAAATAGTTCCATGGTATTCCATCGTGGATGTATCATACATTATTTAACAAGCTCTCTGGGCGGACTTACTCTTGATTCGCCGCAGGTAAGCCTCATCCTCCGTCTCAATCAGGGGGAAGTCATCCCTGGATGGGCATCTGGAGGGAGAACAGGTCGGGTGGGGTTGGGGGGAGGAAGCTGGGTTACAGACCAGGAATCAGTTTTCCCTCCTTCCCAAACACGCTGTTCGCTTCCCTGGTAGGGGCTCACCGGCCGCGTGCCCTGGCTTCATCTGCTCCTGACCCTCTCTTTTCTTAGCACCCATCATCTGTGTTTACTGGGAAGGATAAACTTCTCCAGAGGTCACTGCAGAGGCAGCACAGTGCAGAGGGACAACTACAGTTTTGGCATCAAGCAAACTGGGCTCAAATCCTGGCCCCCCCGTTTACCAGGTGCTAATCTACTTCCTCATCTGAAAAATGGGGATAACATCTTCCTCACAGGGTTTTGGTTAGTATTAGAGGAAATAATGTAACAGTGCTTTGAACACGGCAGAAGCTCAATAAATCAATTACAAAGAATAATATTAATTACGATTTCACAATTACAAATATTATACTATTAATAAAGAGGCCACTCATGGATCTACCGTGAATGGGACAGATATTTTGTATTGTTTTCCTAGAAAAGGCAATTTCATACTTTTGTATGCATTTCTGAAAAATTGATTCGAAAGTCTAAATTGTAGAAGTAAAAAAAAAAAAGTAGCTTTACATATTATAAAGTCCAGAAGAATCCATTCCTTGAAAGCTAAAAAATATCATAAACATCCTAATTGAGTTTATCTTTAGGCATAATCTTCAGGAATCCGTTTTCAACATTTTACACGCACGCATTTACTTGACTTTTTCACCAGAGCAGATACACAGTTGACTGCCTCAGACCTAATGTGTGTCCAACAGAAGCCAAGGATTTGCTGCTTTAGCAACTGAACAGTTTCCTTCTTGCCTCTATTGTATGGAGGTTGTCTGAGACTTGCACCTCTTATTTCCAGTATCAATGCTTTCATTATCCTCTTTTTCATTCATTTTTAGAAGATGAAGGCAAAACACAATACAATCCAAGTAGCAGCCCAGTGCCTATGGACTGAGATGTTAATGCAGCTGAAACGGTACTGGTGGCTGGCAGGTAGGCCACCATGCGACAGAATTCCTTTGCTTGTTAGCTCATGCTGCATTTGAAAGGTGGTCAGAGTTGTCATCGCATAAAATACGACTTTACAGGAATGAGGACACAGATGACCTTTCCTGCCTTGTGCCATCTTCTCTCTCCCCCAGCCTCTGCCTCCACCTCTGAACCCTGGGTTCTGTTTGCCGAAGTGCCCGGGCCCGGGGCCCTAAACTGCAGGTGCCCTGAGGCCATATACACACTCACACTCGCACGCTCTGCTGAATGACGCGGATCCAGGTGCTCCGGTCATCTCGGGATGCCGTGTGGACCTCATACATCTCAGGGGGCCCCGAGCTGATCAGAAACATCCCTTTCTCCTGGTTGGCGATGTCCCGAACGATTAGATTCTGCAGCGGTACCACTGAGGGCTTGTCCTGCCAGTCAGGGGAGAAGGAGGATTAAGCCTGGGAATCCTGACCCTTGGATACTTGGGTCTTCAGTCCTTCTAGAATACTCAAAAGATTGAAGAGTCAGCCCACAATACCAGTGAAGAGCCCAGGCTCTGGTGGCAGCCAGAGAGGACTCAGAAATGTATGTGACCCTTGACAATTTAATTAACTTTAAGCTTTCCTTTCCTTATCTACAAGAGGATAATAATGGGCCTTGCTCACAGGTGTAACAGTGCCCACACACGGTAACAACACCTGTCAGCTATTCTTATTTCTCCTTATCGCGTTATAGTAACGGTTACAGTAACAGCTGTTTGACTCTGTGGAGGATTCCAGGGTTTTTTCGGGCTTACGTAGGAAAGCAAGAAAGGCCTGCAACACTTGTCTGTTCTGAGAAAGGAAGAGGAAGAGGGTCTCACCAGGGTAGGGAAGATATACTTCTGGTCCTTTTCCTGGAGAAACACCAGCACATCTGTCATCAGCAGCATCAGCACATCTGGCAGGGGGAGAAGGGCCGGAGAACAGTCAGCATTAGAGGGTCCGAGCAGCTATTCCCCTCTTTCCCAAGGACCAGGCCTAGCCTGACAGCTTAGTGCTCCCGACGCCCCCTCTTCCTGGCCTCTCTTCCCTCTGGTTGCTTCCTCCACCTTTGCAGACCTCCCATGTCCCCAGTCTTACAGCTCAGAAACGAGAGGAAAAAAAGCGCATGTGCTATCAGATGAAACAGCTTCATGGGCTGGAGGAGACCATAAGGGATCACCCACCGCCTTTGAAGAAAACCCTCTTCAGCCAACGGATGCAGGTTTAACACAGGCTCTGCAGATCCCTGTGATACCCACTGCAGGCTTCAGGGGCTCTGCAAACCCTCTGAAGTTGCACAGGCAATTTAACATATTAATATAACACGTGTATTTTTCTGGGTGAAAGGATCCCAGATTTTTGTGAGGGTAAAAAGGATTTCCAGAGTAGGAGGGGCCACCTTTTTTCAGCCTTTCAGTTCCATATCTAACAACAAACTAACACAAGACTTTTGTGGACATCTGACCTAAATTCCCCTGCCCCAGCATATTTCCACTTCTCATTTAGTGCTGGGTAGGGAGGGCGAAAGTTGGGTTCCTCATCCATCTCTCCCCAGTTGAACACACCCATCTCCTCCAACCCCAGCAGGCCCCTCCTTCCTTTTCCTTCTCTGCCCCACCTTCCAGGCTTTCAGATCCTATGAGGTCCAGCACTTTAAGACTGAGGGGGGAAACAAAAGTCGAGTCCATAAAACTCAGATGTCACAGTCAAGAAAACACAGTCACCCTTTGCCCTTGGAAATTTTACTAAACTGTGGGCACTCAGAAGGGGAGGGCTTTTGCTAAATGCTTCAGAAATAAAGCTCTCCAGCCTTGCTATTTTTAACCCCCCATGGTTTACATTTTTAGCTTCTGCGTGGGAGGGATGGGAAGAAGAGAAAGGGATGAAGGAAAGTGGCTGGTGGAGACTGAGGTACCCAAGTACGTGGAGTGGGGGTTTCATGACATGGGACAGAGGCTCTGGGCAGGCTCTGGCCTCAGATAGCACAGTTGACTTTTGTCCCTCATTCTTCACCCACAAAGCCAAGGCCTGCTACTCTCTTGCCTTGATTTAGGTAGGGAAGACTTGTCCAGTGCAACCTGGGAAAGGGAATGGGAATTGTGCCCCTGACGCTCGCATGCCCTCTCTGCTCTTTTCGCTCCTCTCCACCCTGCCCATCCTTCCCTGGGCTCAGGCCCCTCCTGTGGGCCTTTCCCAGCTGTCTCCCCAAAGCTCCTGCCCATTCCCCAGTCCCAGTCCTGGCAGGTGGGATTCCAGCTGGAGGACCAACTACCCTGATCTTGTCCTCCAATCCTGGAGTTTCTCTGTCCTCCTCATCAAAACTGGTAGTTCTCCAGGCACACAAGGACCAAAGAAATGAATAAATACTAATAAGGAAGTCCTTGTATGGTCCATGAAGTTAAATCCAGATTCAGACTTTAGCTGCAACAGAGACCACATTCTTTCCTCCCACTGGGTCTCACCCTGGGTGTAGGGCTGCATAAAAAGAGGTCCTAAGGGCTGGATGCTTCTCCCTCTCTATATCTGACAGCGGACTCTTGCCCGGCCTGCCAAGCTGACCACTGACCTTTGAAGCGCCCAGTTGCCGTCTTCCAGAGCAGGCAACCATCATGGATCAGCTTGCGCCGCAGAAGCTCCTCTCGGCCAAAAGGGCCCTTGCCAGGCACTGGGGTCTGGGCCCGAGGGTCCATGCGGTTGTAGATCTCCTGCAGGCGGGCACCTTTCTCCAGCTCATGCACATCCTGGTCCACATTGGACAGCAACTCCTTCACTAGCCCCAGTGCTGTCGTCAGGTCCTGGCGTTCCTCCTCCATCCCTGGTGCCAGGGTTGGCATGAAGGACGGGTGAGCCAGCTGCCCTCCAGCCCCAATTCCCACCGTGTCTCCATCCCACCTTCGGAGGCTGTCCTGGGTTCCACGTGTGCCCCCATACCTTCCCTTGGTTATCTTGAGCCTTTTCTCACCCCAGACAGCCCCCTCCCCACCCTGCTCCTGGGGCCCTCCCTCCCTCTCACCGTGGGAATGCTGCAAGATCCGGTTGATGAGCACCGGGTACTTGGTGATGCGCTGAGTCACCAGTAGGATGCACTCCTGGACCCCATGCCGCTTCAGCACAGCCGAGCGGGTCACTTTCTACAAGGGTAGAGGCGGGGCTCAGGGCCAGAGTGCGGCCAGAGGGGAGGGCAACAGAAAGAACGCTGGACTTGGAGCCTAAGCTCTGGTGCTGGCCCTAACTTGGCCATTTACCTCACGCTGGCTTAGGTGACTGCATCTGGAAAATGGGGATAAGGCCACAGGCTTATTGTAAGGACCAACCAGACAAGGCAGCGAAAAGCACTTGTTCTCCCACTATGAGGGGTTACGGTTGACAGGATCCGCGAGAGGATGGGTCCAAGAGGGGTGGTGAACACCTGACCTCCGTGTGGGGGCAGCACACACGTGCTCGCCCGTGAGTGGGGAAGGCTGGGACTGGGCCCCTAGAGGAGGCTCTGAGCGTGGGCCCTGGACAGGTCTGCTCACCCGGATGAACTGCTGGAAGCGCTTGTCTCGGGCGTACAGCTCCTTGTAGAGCTTTACGGCCTTGGTGTGGCGGCTACAGAACTCCGAGTAGGTCTTACGCATCTGCTCGGCGCTGGGACCTGAGAACTAGAAGTCGAGGGAGCAAGGCTGGGTCAGCACATCCCTTAGACATACCTTATCCCCTAGACACCCTCCGGCGTCCCGCCAAACAGGCTGGCTTCCTGCCTCTCCAGCCCTCCCTGGCTCCACCCCCTAGAGTTTGGAGGCAAGAAATGCCCACTCCAGTCACACCTCCTTCCATGAATGTTGCCCATGAATCCTGCCTTTTCACACCTGGCTGATGAGCAGGTCACCCAAACGATGGATGACAAAGTTCCGGGTGCTGCCAGGGCACAGGGCCTGGCGTCGGCGTTCTAACAGTTGGCTGAGGAATCGTGTATGGATGTCACTGAGCTCGTCCACGCAGGGGAACAGGCCCTGGACCACTGCAGGCTCCAGCTGTAGCTCTTCCAGCATCCCCGTGCGGAAGAGGCGGGTCATGATCTTCAGTGTCCGCACGTGGTGCAGTTCCGTCTGGATTAGCTCTGTGGGGACAACGGGACATTCGGCCTCCACCCTGGCTTGGCCACAATTGTTGGGGCCTAGGCTGGAGACCTCAGAGCTCGTTTGAGGTTTTCAAGGTCCCTTCCAGGTTAACATTCTGCATTCTTATGCTCTTAGATCATTTTCTAATCATTTTCTATCTTTATGCCTTGCCATCTCAAGCTGTAAGCGGTTTTAGGGCAAGAACCACATGTCTTCTACATGTCCAGGTTTCCCACTGTCCCCAGCCCAGTGTTGGGCATGGCACAGGCAGAGAGTAAAGACTAAGAATTGACTTGAAGAAAGTGATAAAGATAGGGCCTTGGAGACCAACAGTCCCAAAAGGTGGGGGACCCGGTAGCAACTTGTGGGACGCCAGGCAGGGTCCTGGAGGTAAGGGGGATAAGAAGGAAAGCGTCTTGAGCAGTGAGGGCTGGCAGAGGGGCACAGAACACAGGATCTAGTGAAGAAACAGGAGTCTAGAAGTGGTCTTCTTGGCTCACCGTAGATGACATCCTGCTGCTTCATCACTTCCTTTTTATGCTGCTGCAAGAAGCTGCTGTCCACAGCAAGGCTCCAGGAATCAGCTGCAAAGTCCTTCTCATCCATCTCAAAGTCACTCATCAGTTCGTTGTAGATGACCTCTGCACCTAGACATCCATGGGGGAAACAACTCAAAGCCAAATCCTCTTCCCCAGGTCCCGGGCCCTTCTCTAGATCCCTTCCCACCGGACCGTTTGCAGGCCTGCTCCCGTCAGCCCCTCAGCCCCAGGTGTCCCCCAGGCCCAGGCACGGTCACCTTCGTCGATGAGGGACTCCACCGACAGGGTTCGGTTCCGCATGTTGAGGGAGTCTGTGGACTGGGACAGAATCCGGCGCAGCCCCAGGGGAGACTCATCATTGAAGTGTCTGAGGGAAGTGGAGGCTGGCTGCATCACTCAACTCAGGCAACAGATCCCTTCCCGGCTGGGGAACTGAGGCCAGGATCCGAGAGGCAGTCACCCCAAATTCTCCTTACCTGTCTGTCTATAATTCTGAACTCAGGGATGGGAAGGACCTCTCAGCCCCCCCGGGCTCCACTGCCACACTCTCTGTCTACCTGGCTCTCCCTTCCCCAAGTAGAGGCTCACCCAGCAATGTTGGTGGTGGAAACACTCTTGGCTAAAGACAAGGAGGAGCGGCCACGGCGGGAGCCAAGCAGGGACTGCCTGAAGCTGTCGGAGGGATAGATGGCAGAGCTGGGCCGCTCCCGGGTGGTGGCTGTGGGGGATATGGAGCAGGCAGACATCAAACTGGTGGCGTCCCAAGATTCAGGCCTGCCAGGCTTCTCAACCAGAAGTGAGGCCTCCTCTCCCACCCCACCCTTAGCAGCCTCTTGTCAAAGAAAGGTGATAACAGCAATGCCACCTTATACCCTGAAATACTTTCAATGTTTACAAAGGGCTTTCCTTATCTCCTCTCTTCCCGCAATAAGCCTATGAGCAACCTGAAGCTCAGAAAGGTTAAGAGATTTGTCTGGGGTGACTCAGCTAGTGGCTGAGCAGGGACTCAGAATCTGGCCTTTTTTACTAAGTACCATGCTCCTTCTGTTACACCAAAGCTGTCTGAACTAATACTTGACAGCTGCCGCCAACACTCCCAAGTACGGTGTAAATAATCGATAATAGTAATACAGGATGTGACCAGGCTCAGATGACTGGTCATCCAAGCCCTCATCCCCATTTGAATTCTCCTGTCCTGCCCCTAAGCCCGGGAGTCTGGAGATCCTTTATGGCCCCTCCAACTGCTTCCAAGTGAGGGGAAGAAAGTGCTGTGCCCAGGAATGACCTCAGGGGGGCAGCAGAGCCAAGGGCTGAGAGGCCTGGGTCGAGGGTCCTAGGGGGCTTCTGCACGCCCTCACTACTCACTCTTACTGCGAAGTGAAACAGACTGCAAGGCAGTGTTGTTCTTCAGCAGGGCAGCTTTCTGTTGCTGTGAGGCAGAGAGCAAGAAAGAGATACCAAGAATAGCTGTCACACAAGGGTCGCCCCCACAGGCATGGGGCAGGAGCTGGGCCGCTGGCCCCTTGGGAGAAAGCTGCTACGGTGGCCAAGGGCATCAGGGTAGCTGAGCCCAGTGCTGGAGGGATGTGTCTGCAGCGATAGGCTTGGCCCCCTCGGGGCCTGAGGCCCGGGGCTGAGGGTCTGGGCTGCCCCATGGTGAGGAGAGGGGTTGAGGAACACAGGGTAAGGAATGAATGGAAAAGCCATGTGGGTACCACACACTCACTACCCTCTCCCCCAGCCCTCTGCCCTCCCTGCCATCTCACCTTCTGCTTGACCTTGGTACAGTTGGCGAGGGTGTCTTTACAGCGGTTGTGGATAGTCACATTGCAGGCTGGGAGGGTGGGGTAGAGAGGGTAAAGGGAGGGCCGGGTGGTACAGGAGGGGACACACCCACATGCAGACACCCATCTCCCCCTGGCCACACAGTCTCAGAGACTCTCCCCCCTTCCCAGACTTCTTGACCATCACCGCACTCCAGACCCTCTCCTCCCGCCTCCCCCTTCCTTCAAGCAGGAAATGAAGTGAGGGGGTATAGGTGTCGACGGGAACTGAGCAATCAGGAGGGGTGGGCAATCCTGACTCAAAGATGACCTGCGAGGTGGACTAGAGGGAAGAAGGGGTTACTGGCTGCCAGAGACGAGCTCAAGAAGCACAAAGGTGGTTGAGAATGACAGATGGAAGAGAGGACGCCCACGGAACAGAAGATGGCACAGGAGCAGCTGGGATGGGGGCTAGGGGCAGAGAGGGGGGAATTAACATCCCCTGAGCATCTAGTCACTGTTCCACATTTACTCGATCCTAACAAGTCTTTGAGGTAGATTCAATTATCCTCATTTTACAGATGAGGACCCTGTCTCCTGGAGAGGTTAAATCGTCTGCCAGAGGTCATACAGCTAATGTTAGAACTAGGATTTAAACGCAGGTGTGCCTGAATCCAAAGGCTGTGCTCTTTCCGTTGAACCACACATATGCTCATGAACTCTGGCTGGGCCTGAACATCAGCGAAGGCTGATGGGTCCAGTGGTAGAGTGGGGACAGGCCCTGCCCTGCCCTGCCCTCCCAAGCCTGCCCGCCTGCCTTCTGCAGGCCTCAGCAACACTTGCTACCACTCCAGTCAGTCTGCCTCCTTCCTTCCAGGCCTGGGGAGGGCTGTTCCCCAACTAAGGCGAAGCCACAGCTCCCACACTCCATATGCTGCTCTCCCATCACCCACCCTACCTTGCCATGGGGTAGGAGAAGAGAGGAGAGGAGAGGAGAGGAGAGGAGAGGAGGAGGAGCCAAGCCTAGGCTCAGGGACCACTGGCTGACCCTTTCCCCAACATGCCCTCAGCCCTTGGCCCTCTCCAGCTTCCCCTCTGCCGTCCAACAACACCGGAAACTCTGCTAAGTCCTTCAGACAATACCCAGCACCACACTCACTTCCACAAATACAAGGCGAGCAGGGTGGGGCAGAGGGGCAGACAGAAGTGGGGGCTGCAGCTGCCCCCACCCCTCTGAAGCTCCCTTCTACCCCCAGCACCCAGTGTCTCTGGATCGAACCTCCGCTTTCCACCTGCTCTCAAAATAGTGCTTGCTGCCCGCCTCCCCAGTTCCCCTGGCAACAAGCTTCCAGATTGGGAATTCTGTCAGGTCTCTAGAGGGATCTAGATTGGGGTTCCCTCCTCATCCTCAAAACTCTAAGTTGAGCAGTGAGAAAGTAGGGAGGCCCCACTGGTTCTTTCTGGGGGTGCCTGCCCCAAGTTCCATAGGGATTTAGAGGCTACGGCTTTTGTCCCACTATTCATTAGCAGGTCACAGTGGTCTTGCTCTAGGCAGAAGCAGCTCTTTGCCATAAATTGTGGGCAGTGGGGAGGGAGACGGGACACGACAGGAGCCCTCTGTCTGGGCATCCTGAAGAATTCCTTGCTTGTACTTCCTAAAAACAGGGCTACCCTCGATGTGGATGAAGGTCAGGAGATCTAAGCCCTGTCCCCCAACACACATGTTCCTGCTGTGGTCTCTCTTTCTCACTGTGGATCAGTCAGACTAAAACTGGAGATGGAGGGTGCTAATCCCATCCTCTGCTTCAAAGTGCAGGGATTTAGAGATTTCAGCCTCCACCCAGTCAACAGAAAGCGAAGGGCAGGGGGACCCTGAAGTCCCGAATGTCCAGTTCTGCCCAGGAAGACAGGCAGAACCAGCTGCAAGGCCGGCAGCTTCCCACCCAGCTCCCCTATCTTCCCCTCCCGGTCCCCCCCCCCCCCCCCCCCGCAACATTCCTGCTCCTTCTCCAATCAGTTCCCCTGACCCTCAGCAGCTGTTCAGGGAGCTGGGGGATGCCCAGTGGACGACAGCTGCAAGGGGAGCCATCCCTGCCTCCCCTCCCCCACATTCCCAGCTAGTCCTCCTTATGCCATATTCGGACCGCCACCACTCCTAGGTGTGAGCAAAGGGAGAAAAGGCTCAAGCATCTGGCGCTGGTATTTGGGCCTTGCTGGGGCTCCGAGAAGAGACTGACCCTTATGGATCCAGGGCAAAAAGGACAGATGGAAAGGTTAGGGTCAGTGGGCACCGAGTCAGAGAGACATTCAGGGTCCAAACAACTTACTTGGGCAGATGAGGGCTTCCTTGGCTGTGATGCTCTTGTTACAGGCATAGCACATGGTCATGCCCGAAACGGAGATGGTGGTGAAGAGGTGCCCATTGGTATAGCGGGCATCCTTGGCTTCCTTCATCTTCTCCTTTTCCCGGGTCTGTGGAAGGGGAGAGAGACAGGAAGTGAGGCTGGAAGATGCCAGGGTTCCTGAGGGTCCAGAGAGACAGGTTGAGGGCAGAGGTGAGGGAATGATGCCCGCCTGGCGTTGCCGGAAAGACACCACTTCCTAAAGCAGAGCCTGTCTCAGGGTGTCGGAGGCAGCGGTCCAGGAGTGACCAGCCCAGCCCTGAGAGGGGCCTAGCTGGCCCCTGACCTACCTGGCCCCGGCGGCTGGGCTGCCTCCTGTTGCCACTCATCTCCCTGGCTCTAGACCTCCGCGTCCTCACTCCACCTTCCAGCCCTAGCTCTGCTCGCCCCCGAGCTGCTGTACTCTCCTCTCTGTGCCGGGGGAAGATGCGCAGAGAGGAGGGGAGAGCAGGCGAAGCAGAGGGTGCCAGCTCACCAGCGCTTTCAAATCTATGGGAGTTAGCTCCTCTTATAACCATGACAACCGGTGTTGGAGCCGCTGTCTCCGTGGCAGTCACAGTGGGGGGCAGGAGATCCCCTAATTAGATTGGCTGAAAGCGGCATAATGCCACCCCCAACCCAGAGGTCAGGATCCCAAACCTCTACCTCTTCCGCACACACTCAGCCAAGGTCACACGCACACACTCAGCCAAGGTCACACGAGCTCTTTGCGGGAGGGAGCATGTCCACCGCTAACCTCTAGGCAGCAGGAGCCTAGTTTTGATCTCGAGTCTCTCCCCCAAAACCTTAGAGAGCTCCCTCTATTCCTCTCACCCGGTTAGTCTCTCCCATCCTAGGAAGTCCTTCCTGGCATCTACCCTCCACCCTCCAGCTGCAACATCAGTTCTTCCTGCTCTGGTCTCTGCCGAGATGGGGCACGCTGTGTGCCCTACCTCAAAACCTCAGAGGCTGGCATTTCCCACCTCAGCTTTTTCTTCTCCTGCTTCCCCCTGGTCTCTGCAGGTCAAGTCACTCTCCCTGACCTCTTTTCTGTCCCTCCTCAAGCCCCTGAGCTTCCCCAAAAGCCTGGGAAGGTGCCAAGATGGGATACCATTCTTCCCTCCTAATCCAGGACCTTCCTTAGTGGTCACCTCAGATGCCCGGATTTTCCCTCCACTCTTGGAGGTTGAAGAGCAGGAACAGGAGCTGACAAGACCACTCCCTCCAAGTTTCCCTGTTTCTCAGAAACCAAAGAGCGGGATCCACATTGCTGAGGCTGAGGGTATGAACCTCAAGTTGGGGACACTGGCTGGGGCCCTGGGACAGCGGATTAGAACTCAGGGGAGAGCCCTCTGCCTGGGCCTTGGTGGCCCAGTCCTGACTCTCAGCTCCAGCCACACGAGCAGCTGAGAGGCGGGGGAGGGGAAGAGATGCACCGGCCTGCTGCGTAGGGTAGAAAAGGGAAGTGTGCGGGGGCTGAGTCAACAGCACAGGGCCCAGAAGATACTGGGCCGCGTGCCCTAGGGTCTCAGGGCTTCCCGGTGGCCCAAGATCCTTCTCTCTCCTGCTTCCCCTGAGAAGCTCCTCACTGATGACGAGTGAGCCCAGAGGTTTTGAGGTCATTCTCCACCCTGATCATCCATTTTTCTCGTCTCCTCTCCTCTCCTCCTGCTTCTCCTCTTCCTGTCTCCTGCTCTCCTTCCTATCTCCTGGTCTCCCTCTTCCACTCCTCCACTTCTGCCTTTCCTTTCTCACCCTCATTTCTCCTCCACTGCCCCCGGCCTCTCCCTCCCCTCCTCCAGCTGGGCCTGGTTAAGGAAGCTGACTTACCTCTAATGTTCCAGGCCTCCCTTTTTCTATTCTGGTACCTCCCTATCTAGACCACTAGAAAACTCTCCCTTTGGTCTAACCTCCATCTATCTTGCTCCAAATTATAGCTCCTTAGATCAAATCTTCCTCTGTATAACAGCGCCATGGGACCTCAAAGACCAAGTCCGAGTGTCTCTTCTCAGTGCCCTACACGCTCCCTTCTCTCCTCCTCTCCTGCCCTCCCAGCCTTCTCCATGACACAAATTACAAGTTTGAGCACTTATTACGCTTGAATTAAAAGCAAGCAAACAAACGAACGTGAATATCATATTAAAAAGAGCAACATATCTGGATCAGGGTCAACTCCAGAGTTGGCAGTGCTGCAGATCTGCCCTAATGCTGCCACAGCTCCCCCCTCACCTACCCCTGCCCTCCAGCCTCAGGCCTCCAGGAGCACGCACCTGGGAAAGAGGTGGGAACGGAAGGGAGAGGACTGGGCAGCCAGAACGGCATCTCTAGTGGCCTTTCCCTCTCTGGCATCAACGCCCCAGAGACAACCCAGGCACTCTGGGCCCAGCCTCCTCTACCTCCCAACACTCACCCTCTCTCCAAGCGACCCCCTCTCTAGGTGGGCCAGCAGCGGGCAGCAGCCACAGCAGCAGCACATCCCAACACGGGCACTGCCCAGCAGCAAGCGGCCCTGGTACTGCCTAGCGCTATTGTCCTGGAGGCAGCCTGTGCCCGCCCCGGGGCTCGGCTGGTGAGGATAGAAGGACACAGGGCCTGCTCACCAGGGGTGCCTGCTCCAGAGATGGAGAGAACGGGCTTGTCTGGTTCTTTGTCCTACTCTTTTCGAGGTATTCATAAGATAATCACATCGGTCTCCCACTTACCCACCCACCAGCAGGACAGCCTTTCACCTCCATGCCCCGATCTGTCCACCCAGAAAAGGGCCCATTACTCCACGATCCACAACACCCATGCCCAGCACACAGAGGCCCTTCCTGCTTGGTTCAATCCTCTGCTGTCCAGCGTCTAGAATCATCCTTTCTCGCAAATCCTCATGGGAAGTCTTTCTTGCTACACAGCCTTCATGGACACCAGTGCTACATCAAGGATGGAGGAAATAAAGCACCTCACATAATGGCTGGTATACGACAGGCACTCAATACATGTTTGGAAAGGAAAAAAAGAAGGAAGGAGGGGGGCTGGCCCCGTGGCCGAGTGGTTAAGTTCGCGCGCTCCGCTGCAAGCGGCCCAGTGTTTCGTTGGTTCGAATCCTGGGCGCGGACATGGCACTGCTCATCAAACCACGCTGAGGCAGCGTCCCACATGCCACAACTAGAAGGACCCACAACCAAGAATATACAACTATGTACTGGGGGGCTTTGGGGAGAAAAAGGGAAAAAATAAAATCTTAAAAAAAAAGAAGGAAGGAGGGAGGGAAGGAGGGAAGAAAGGAAGGGTGGATGGATGGATGGACACCAAGACATGCGGACCAGCAGCACCCTCGCCCCTGCTCTAGGGACCCTGGCACTCCTTGTCAGAGCTTCAGAGCCTTTGGTCTCCTGGCCTCGTTTCTCCTTTTCTCCCTCCACCTGAAGGGCTCGCAGCGCTTCTTCTCCCCTTCTGCTTCCTTTGAGCTTAGACCCTGAGGTTTCCTCTGGAGGCCAGGAGAAGGCCAACCCAAACCTCCCTTCCATTGTCATCCCAGACCTTGGTCACTTTTGGGAAAGGAGGACGGGGCGAATGGCAGAGGGTACTGTGACTGGCGGCGCAAAAGCTCAAAGGCAGAGGCAGTCTCCCTACTTCTCTGCACTATGCCCTGCAGGCCGACGAAGGAGAAAAACGGTGATTTGCACGGACGAGGCAATGCCAAAGCCTACCTAGGAGAGTGAGAGCCTCTCCAAGCAATGTCTAAGCTCTCAGCACCCCTTGACTCCTCCATTGGGTATGTCCAAACCCAGACCTAGAGGGAGTCACGTGGAGCTCAGAACCACCTCTGTTCCAGCTGCAACTGGCAGCAGCCCCTTCCCCAAGATGGTGAGGCCTCTGTCTAGGCCCTCTGTATGGTGACCAGGAGGCCCCTGGAGGGCTCCACTGGGATCCGAGTCATCTGTGGCTCGGCCCCTGGACAGCACGGCTTCAGAGTCAGAAAAGGGCACTGAGTCATGGGGGATGAACCACAGGCTGGGAAGTAAGGAGAGAGGGGGTTCCTAGCCACAAGACTGAGAAGAGGGCTTGGGATGGTCTCAGTCAGGCTCTGCTCCTTTAGGAGCTTCCAGGGCCAAGAGAAAGGCAAGAGGCTGAGGAGAAGGCAGCCAAACGGAAACACTAACGCCAAAGCCAGAAACACAACACAAAAAGACATCGCGGAACACACAAAGGCACTTATTAAATGCCTGCTTGATGAATGAAGATGAGATGCCGGACAATGGGGGTAGGCACATTAGGGAAGCAGAAGAGGGGCGCTAAGGGCCACAGGGAATAAAATCAGACTAGAGACCCTGAGATACAGGCCTCCTGGACCCCAGCCTGCCCCCCACCCGGCCACACCTGTCGGGTCAGGAGAGAGAGACAAGCAGAGAGGGAGGGGGGAGTGATGCAAACAGACGGGCATTTGTGCAGGCGAACAATAGCTGTGCCAGGACTCCCTGCCCTCCTGGCACAGGGCAGGCCGGCTGAGGCGGGAGGGGGGCAGCTGCTGCCTGCAGCCCCACCCCCACCCTCCCCCAAGGAGCCATAAACAAACCCAGAAGGGTCCAGCCAGCTCCTCTCTGCCATTTCTCTTACCAGCTCCGGGAACCCTGACCAATGTGCTCACTCAAGCTCCTAGATGATACTTTAAACTACAGACTGAAGCTAAGAATGGAACTACTTCCTCACGTAGAGAGAAAGAGCCCCTACTGTGGTGACCACCATTCAAAATAGTAACCCAGATCATCTGGGGACAGACAGACAGACACAGACACATACACACACACACCAATACACAGGTCACGTGCATTAATGGGATTCACACCTTCAGATCTGACCCCTCCCTGATTCCAAAGTCAGGGTCCCAGGGAAGCCAGAGGGACTGAGCTGAGAGCCTCTTTAAATCCTGTGGTCAGCCCCAGAAGGTCCTTCCCTAGGCACCATCTAACACCCGGCAGTCACTCACTGACTTCCCTAAGCTTTTGGCTCCCTTCCCCCGTTCTTGCTTCTCCCCTCTCCCTCAGCTCTTTCCCTAACCTCCATGACCCCTAGAATCTTTTCCTATGCCCTCAAAAGCCTCAGCCT